TCATCCGTCTTTCAAAAGCCAAAATAAGGTTTTTTTTTGCACTGCAGGAAACACTTATAAATTCACCATCCACAGTTTAAGAATCATATTACTAATTACAACCTTCGTAGTAGGTAACATACCTGTCAGATTCAAAAAGTCGTGTTCTGTACTAGTGTCTTTAAAACTGATCTCAGTGTTGTCTTAGCAGCTCAGCGACCATATGTCTCCTCCAAACGAAACTGGTAAATGATAAAAAGAACCAACAAATACTAAAAGTTATCAGTACTGAGTCCAACCCATTCGGCTGTCACTCTGACACGTGTCTCTTGAACAGCTGATCCGATAACAACAATCACACGCTGCCAAACGTATGAATGAACGTTCATCAAATTCACTCATTCCATGTCGTCTAAAATTTGATCTAATTATAAACATATCTTTCATGCTTGTTTGTATATGTTTACTTTTAAGTTGGCATTTGATCATTTGATGAGGATGATAATACCACATCTACTACGTGTCCACTAATAACAACTACAATGAAAATAATAATTATTAAAATGATGACCATGATGGAGATAACTGCTATAAGTATATCGTTGCAGAAGCATAAATATCCTTAGTAGTAAGACTATTAGTAGTAGTAGTAGTGGTAGTAGTAGTAATAGTGGTGGTAGCAGCAGTAGTAGTACTAGTAGTAGCAAGAGCAGTAGTAGCAGTAGAATAGTAGCATCAGTAGTGGTAGTAGCACTGCAGTAGTAGCAATAGTAGTAATAGCAACAGCAACAGTAGTAGTATAGTAGCACAGTAGCAGTAGTAGTAGTAGCAAAAGTAGTAGTAATAGCAGCAGCAGCAGTAATAATAGTAGCAGCAGCAGAAGCAGCAGGAGCAGCAGTAGTAATAATAATTGTAGCAGGAGCAGCAGCAGTAGTAGTAGTCGAAGTAATAGTATTCGCAGCAGCAGCTGTACTAGTAGTAGCATAAGTAGTAATAGTAGCAGCAGAAGTAGTAACAGCAGTAGCAGTAGCAGCAGCAACAGTAGCAGCAGTAATAGTAATATTAGCAGCAGCAGTAGTAATAGCAGCAGCAGCTGTAGTAGTAGTTGCAGTAGTATTAATAGTAGTAACAGCAGTAGGATTAATAGCAGGATCAGCAACAGCAGTAGCAGCAGCAGCAATAGTCGTAGGATAAGCAGTAGAAGTAGTAATAAAGCAATAACATTTGCAATCATGATATTTAAGATGATGATGATAATTATAATGAAATAATAAATAATAATAATGATGTCAATTCAATACTTTCATGTTTTTAGATTGCCATCCAGCATTCAGTAAAAACGTTTTTATTTGCAATTCATGTAATTTACCTAAAGTTTCATGAGAACAGTTGAAGGTACTGAAAAAATTACCTATTTCTGACACCGATTTCATTTGCCTTCTGCGGAATTGCCCTCCACGGCGAAGGAAAAAAAAAAAAAAAAATGATACGATGATTACTGATGGTCTTTTTCGGGTACTTCTAAAAGCGTCGAACATAACAAATGCTTTTCACCTTCGTCGCTATGTTACCCTTGTCAACATGTCCACGATCGGAATATCAATGTGGATACTACAGCCCGTTTCGGAGGCAATATAGTTTCCGTTCCTGTTTTCAAAAATCACTGTTATGAAGGCTGCTGTGCTTTTGATAAGGTTGGCTGGCATTTTCCCGTCCAATCGGATAAAAAAAAAAACACCTCCAACTATTCTTGACGCGTGGGTACATGACACTTGTTGCCAACTCAATCCTTCTACTGACTTCTCTTAGTCTGAGAGCCTAGAGTTATGAGCTACACTGCGAGGATATGTGAAACTGTGACTTCGACATTTTCTCCTGAATCACATACTGACTGAACAGGATCCCCTAGCAGGCCCCAAAAACCCAGGTCTCTAAACTTAAGGGCTTTGTTTCATTGCTAAATGCATTGAGATCCACTACTAGGGTTTCCATAGACTCAGATTGGATGGCAGCATCGTGAGCAAAGTCAGGGTCGATGTTCTTGATATTCCCAAGTTTCTCCACAAAGACTTTGGGTTGAAGTTCCACCCCATCCACTCCGTGCAAGTATTGAAACTGTTGGTGCAAGAACACCGCAGTCGCCTCGCCCCTGAATTCACGGGAACAAAAAGTTAGACACCTTACAGTACTTTCAGTCCCACTATTCTATACTAATCCTATAATCCTTATAGGAATTCTCCCGAGTCTCAGGATCTCTGACTGATTTGTGAAGCACCGAAACAAACGCCTTCTTGAGGTCAATGTAGGCTGCAAGAAACCTACGACCGAGAACTTACAATGGCGCTCTACAGTGACTCGAAACGTATGTTGTGGACTTGCCAGGAGTGAATTTAGTTGCTCCGATCTCTAATGCCTCACTGGGTGATCTCTGCTACGTCTCAGAAGTATGTAAATGAGAACCTTGCCTGGTATGCTGAGCAGTGCTGTGCATCGGTAATTGCTGCTGTCCTATCGATCCCCT